CCTAGGGCTGAAAGAGAGGGACTGGCTCGAGATCACCCACCAGGTTTTGTGTCTGAGGTGTGTGAAACTGGAACGCAAAATGTCCCAGTTTCTGGTCTGGTACCTTAACCACTGCATCAAACTGGTTTTGTACTGAAGCTAAATGTGTGGGAGATCTGGATTTATAACCACCTATCACCACATTTGTTTAACAGCCCTTTGATACTACAATACTCTAAATAACAAAATGGTTATTGGAGGGGAAAAAAAATCATCATTTCATCTCATTAATCAACCAGACACTAATAATAATAGGACTGTGAGTGGCATGCATCTTTAAGAGAAAGAAAGGGATACAAATCTAATCTACCAACTCATCTATTACTTACAAAAGTACAACTTTTGCATCTCTGTCTCCTAGCATGTACTGATCGTCTGGCTTATTGCAGCCCAGATATGCCCCCCCCCCCACTTGCCATTTTGGTTTTATGTTAGGGTATATATAAACGAGGCCCTATGATTTGTTCAATGAATTGTGATTTTAAGGGGGGAAAAGAGGCTGCCTGACACACACACCCTTTCATGTGAACTCACTGAAGCATTTTCGGGTCCTGTGACTGTAATTTGCAATATCTTTTGCCAGTTTTTGGTGATTTTTTTTGTCGCTTTCCAACCCAAAAAATGCCCATTTGGCAGAACGGGTCTACTTAATAATCATGTGTGGGGTTTTTTTTTAACAACCACATGATTTACTTAACAACCACAGGGACTTGCTGTATGACTATAATAAAAAATGGTCATGAAATCAAGCTAGGTCATATGGTGACCTGCTTAATGACTGCAACAATTTACAACCAAAACTGCAGGTTCAATTGTGGTCATTAAGTAAGGCTACTTGTAGAATGTACTGTATATTTGCTATAAGTCATCTCTCACAAAACCTGCCAGACCCTTGTTTGAGGCTTAGTCCTTCTTCTGGACTAGATGGGGACCATTTTGGAACTATAGAAGCCAGAGTAGAAAGCCACAATAAACCTTGGTTTTAAATTCTGCTTTCCACAAATCCAAATCCCAGTTAGGGACTGGAAAGTACACATTATATCTCAGGAAGTTCCACATCTGGTTAACAAGCCAAGGATGACAAGAAGGAAGTAGATAAAAGTATCTATGACTGGCAACTCTTTAAAATGGATAGATAATTCCCTGCCCCCCCCCCCATGCCATCCATCTACTGAACACATAATTCCCACACCACTGTCTCATTTCTCATGTATCTTCTCCTATTGATTCTTATGGTTTATCAATTGTTGTTTGCAACTTATGATTAATGATTGGTATGATTTATGACTTATGATCTATTACTTGCTTATATGTATACTGAGAGCTTATGCATTAGAGACAAATTCCTTGTATGACCAATCACACTTGGCTAATAAAGAATTCTATGCTATGCTATGCTATGCTATGCTATGCTATGCTATGCTATGCTATGCTATGCTATGCTATGCTATTAGTCGTGGGATCCTACTGGTTTAACAACCAGTTCGGTGATCATGCGCTTTGTATGCGCAGTTTTGAGAAAAAGTAACTTCCACATTACTGCTGGGGAGGAAAACAGCTGAGACATGGCAATCTGCTCTGCCACGCGACTCAGCTAAGATATACAGTAGGTGAGTTAAGAGCAGGGGTGGGCAGGCAGGCCCCCTTCATCGTTGGAGAGAACCGGTTCACTCCCAGCTGATGGTCGGAGCTACCGGTTCACCTGTACCAGTCTGAACCGGTAGACTCCCACCCTCGTATGCTATGCTGTGCTATGTTATGCTATGCTAGATAAAAGACAGGCAGATAGATACTGTAGATAATCTTTACTATGGTTTATTGTCTCATGTAAGTGAAGCCATTATGTCGTACATGATAGTGTTGAATTTTTAATGAGAATCCAAAGTTCAATTCTTGCTCATCTATTAAGATCAGAGAGCAATTGTGCGCAGCCTAATTTTCCACAAAGATTTTTGAGGCAATAAATGGAAATTTCACCAGAAAACATTACTCTGTGTCTTATGACAATGGACAGAAAGTATGTATATGAAATGATTATATTACATAAAAATTAATATATGGCCTTACAAATTGGCATTTTATTTAACAGCCATATGCAAAATCTATTCTGTGTTTCTACAGAGTATTCCGAACTAGCAATTCTAGACACAATGATGTTTTCTGGAAAAGAAAGTGATTCCAGTTATTACCAAATCCTAAAACTAGCATACATTTACAAGACAGTATACTTGTCTGTTTGGGGACTATACCTTAAGACTAAGTCCAGTTTTTCTATGCATGATGCAAAACAGAACTGCCATTTCAGCCTTCTGTAGAAACTCATTGGCTCTCTCTAATGCACTTAATTCAGTATCGTATCCAGCTCCGGAGATAAATGATTTAATAAAGTCCATTTCTTCTTCTAATTCTGCAATAAACATAACAAAGAGTATTAGGATATAACGGGCAAGGAGAGAGTACAGATCATCATTGACTTACGATCATTTGGATTGTTCCAAGTTATGATGGTGCTTAAAATAGTGATTTAAACTCAATCTTCACACTTACAGCAGGGTCTCCATGGTCACATGATCAAAATTTGGGCGCTTGGCAAGTGACATGTATTTACACTGGTTGCAATATCCTAGAGTCATGTGATCAGGGGAGTGGTTTTCGCTTACCGTATCTTCCCTATCGGTTCGCAAATGTTTGCACGCGCGTGTCCATGCATGCACCTGTCATTCTGTGCATGCGCTTTGCTCAAAAAACATCCTTAAACAGGACGAAATAGAGCCAAGGCAGGTGAGCTGGCCCACCCGTGATTTCTGCTACTGATTCGGGTGAACCGGTCCGAACCGGTAGAATAGCACCTCTGCATGTCATGGCTATTTATGCCCTTCCCAGCCATGGGAAGCAAAGTCTGTGGAGGAAGCCGGATTCTCTTAATGATGATGTGATTCACTTAACAAATGTGGTGATTTGCTTAATACACACGGCAAGACGGTTTTAAAATCAGACACCACTCACTTAACAACCGCATCACTTAGCGATGGAAATTTCAGGCTCAATTGAGATCCTAAATTGAGAATTATCTGTATATCAACTAAGGTTAGCATGGGGATTGGAGATGGTGTTCAAAACTCTTCCCTATTTCTTATTGACTTTTTCAGTTTTCAGTCCATACGTGATTATTTATTTATTTAAAACATTTGTGTAGGCACCCATCTTAAAGCCAATTTCAGTCAATAAAATAATAAATAACTATTATATACATTTATTAAAAAATTACATTACAAAGCCAGAAGAAACACAGGCACCATGACCATACTTCCCTGATGAAACCCACAATTCTCATTGTCTATGGAGATTCTCAGTCATCCAGGTCATGGTTGTCCCAAAGGTGCTTTTTCAAGAGGAAACTGGACTTTCTGGTTTTTCTTTAAAGACATTCCGCTTCTCGTACAAGAAGCTTCTTCACCTTGAAGTGAAAAGTCTTCAAAGAAAAGCCAGAAAGTTCTGTTGCCTCTTGAAAAAGCACTTCTCATCTCATCCTGACCTCCCCTTATCCCATCGCTAGGGGAAAGAATCAGTTCTCTCCAGAAAGATAAACATATGTGTCTGTCTGTCTGTCTGTCTGTCTGTCTATCTGTCTGTCTAACTCAGGAGGGAGAATGTTTTATGGGGCAGGGACTGCAGTTCTTAAGGGAAGGGATGTGGAGCATGCCTATCCTATGTTCTTTGATGGCATGGGCAGATACCCTCAAAGAGAGGTGGTCTCACATATGAGCTGGTCCTGTGTCACGTAGGCATAAGGCATTAAAAATGTAATGTCTTGCTCTCCCAAACTAATCTTTTGAAGTGACATTTGGAAAAAGCTAATAGGATGGGTTGTTCCAGCCTTACGCTCCCTTTGACATGACCACTCTAGAAATATTCTTACTTTGAAAGAGACATGTGCTTTAAAACAAATGCTTTGCACTAGGCTATTTCATACTTGAAACATTTCCAGAATAGCTGGAATAATTTTGGGATGCTTCTAGTCAGGTGGGAACGGCTGGTTACAAAATGAAAAGATACCCTTCCAACTCGTAACCTGTCAAAATCAAAACTATACGTTTTTGCATTCCAGTGGTATGATGATTAGCCAACAGCAATGACAAGCTTCTCTTGACAAAGAATTAACATCTGATCCAGATGTGGTATTCAGCAGGTTCTGACCAACTCTGGAGAACCAGTAGTGGAAATTTTGAGTAGTTCAGAGAACCGGTAAATACCACCTCTGATTGGCCCCGCCCCCATCTATGGTCTGCTTCCTGAGTCCCAACTGATAGGGAGGGAATGGGGATTTTGCAGTAACTTTCTCCTGGAGTGGGGAGGGGCTGGAGATTTTACAATATCCTTCCCCTGCCATGCCCACCAAGCCATGCTACACCCACCAAGCCACGCCACGCCCACCAAGGCACACCCATAGAACTGGTAGTAAAAAAAAATGACTCCCACCACTGATCTGATCATAATTGAATATTTAGTACAGCTTGTGATATTCACTTCAATTTGGAAGGTGCTCAATCTGACTTAAAAAAAAGAAAGGAGGCCTCTCTAAAGAGAGCCAAAGGCTAATTTTTCCAGAATTTTGCAAGCTGGTTGAGAGCAAAGCTGAGAAGTAATGCCTAGCACATTGATCCACAGTTCTACAGTTGGCAGTGCCACACAGCATTAGCAATGGAGCCAGCAGATTGATTCTTAAAACTTTACCACACATCGCTGTCTACAAAGCTGGGAAAGGTAGAAAGCAACAGAAGAGGGTGGTGGATGGAGTCAGTTACAGTGGCAATAGATGCATTGTTAGATGATCTGAAGGACCAGGTTAAGGACAAGAAGTCCTGGAGAAAATCTGTTTATTGGATTGCTAAGAGTTGACACTGACTGACTTGATGGTACCTAATAAATCATCAGCTCTTGCAAAACATGAGCTTCTGATATTGCTGGTCATGCATTCATGAAGCAACATCATCCTGGATTTGTAAACATTTTCTTGCTTACTGGATGAATTATTTGCCACTCCCTTGAGATTATGTTTCAATACTGTCCAGTCTAGTCCAGCCTAGTCGTTGAACGGAACTCATGATGACATAGCATTCATGGTAAAGAGAAGGCTTTACAGGCTTCTATGAGCTGATGGCTTTATAAACATACCCTCCCTTGTAACTCTCCCAGGTAACCATATGCTGTGGCTTCACAAGGCTTGCTAACAGACCACCCTAGTGAATAAAAATGCTTTTAGGCTTTTACATTTGTAAATGACCCAATTAAGGGACATCAAACTTATTTATTCAGACAGGAAAGGTTTAGCAATATAATTGATAGGGAGTAGACTATGAACTGTGTCAGTTGCTTTCTTCAGAAAAGCAGTGCAGGGAAAAGATAATGAAATAGGGATTTTCTATTACATTTGGAATGGGAGCAAATGGGAGAATGCATGCAGGATTGTGAGGAGGAGGAGGAGGAGGAGGAGGAGGAGGAGGAGGAGAAGAAATCCAGACAACAGAAAAGGGCTAGAAATAATCCTATTTATTTCCTCAACAGTGCTACACATACTTCTCTTCTGGGATATCTCAGCAAACATTGCTTTATCATACAAAATATAATGTACAATATAAAAGAAAGAAGGGGTATAAACCACTGTGAAACTAAGGGGTCAGCTATGCACATTGTTCCTGAGTTCAATGTATTATTAATCCAAAGAATAAATTTAGCATAAATTTAGCCAATCACCTCCCTGCGACCAATTAGATCACACAGATTGGGCCTCCTCCGTATTCCACCGGCCAGCCAGTGCCGGCTGGCAACTACAAGG